CTTTCCAACTTTTTTCCTACGATATGCATTCAGTATTCATTACTACTAGGCCTTGGGTCTGTTTTTATAGTTAAAGCTCAGTTGTCAAATTCTCAAATTATTAAGCTCAAAACTAGTAATAATGACAACTTGATGCCCCTTTAGGCTTTGATGCCATGTGCGACCGCACGGGCTGCACGTGGTCAGGGCCGGCCCTGTCCATTATTCGATTATTCCTAATTGAAGAGAACCACAAGATCAACATTAATGAGATATACTAGATCAATTACATTCAAAAGCGCATTTTATGGGTTGCTTTGAGATTAAAATTGATCAATGATTCAAATCATTTATTAGTTCTTACATTTTTCACTTTAACTTCTATTTTTACACGATTCTTCATATATTATATGTTTATATATATGTATATATGTGTGTGTATGTATGTATGTATGTATATATATATATATATGTATATATTTATATGTATGTATGTATGGGACATGAATGTGACATATTGCAATTAAGGAGGCATGCAACATGGATACAAATTGACCATAAAGCGATCATTGAAAATTTTAAATGCTTTATATTCTTTTTTAACGTGGAAAGAGGTTTTCTTTAAATATGAATAAAATAAAAATAAAAATAAAAAACATGTTAGTGGAAGCATATGTCAAGTTTCACTTTTTGCCTCAAAAAAATGAACCGACAGATGAAGCAAAAATCCAAAATGAGCCACAAAGTCTCACTAAAACGCGTCGTATTTTGCATTTCGACCAAAACTTAAATACGTTACAAATAAAACTAAACGTTATAACCTTTTTTGTAGTAAGATATTATATAGTTTTTTGGCCTTCTAAATCATAATATAATATTTCGTCACTAAAAACATAGTACACTTGCAAACCGATATTACATATCTAGGTTTCTTGAAAACAAGCTCACACTCTAATTGTTTGATTGAATGTGCTTTTTTCATCGTCGGTTTTAGTTAACTATGTTGTTTATCATGTTAATTTTTGCAAATTATAACATTATACATATGTATTTGTGTGTGTACGGATGTGTATATATATACATGTATATATATATATATATATATATATATATAGGGTTGGGTTCACGTGAGACCAAAGGTTTTTCGTGAGACCCGTAAGACCAATTTATGTTCATTGATCAAATTTATGAATTAATGATCTAATGGTT